CCAATACTAGTGCTCAGCTGTTTCTACTGGGGGGAAAGGGTTGACTGGAGAGGCGAGTAGAAATATCTAGCGGCGTTGGCCGCGTGGTGGCGGGGTTATTATAACAGTTGGGCTCAGCAGGCTGGTGACTGAAATGCAATATTCCAGGGAGCTCCATGCTCTCTGCTACCCACTGCAGGCGAAAATAGGAAGGTGGCCATCAGAATTGGGCGGGAGAGGGGGCGCGGGGGAGAGCAGGGAGAACAGCGTCCCCTGGTGGTTGGTTTTGGCCGCACAGAGGAAAGAGCAAATGTGCTTGGCCCTGGGTGCACCGAGTTAGGTTACAGCTGCTGCGGGTAGGGAGCCGACAGGGTTTGACAAGAGGGGATATAGTTCAGTTTCTCCTTTACAAAGAGAGTCGCCATCTTACTCCGCCTTTACAAAGTGAGTCCCCAGCTTCACAAAGTGTGTGGCGCACATATTCTCAAATCTTCCTCAAGGGACACACACAAAGAAAAGCACCACACAGACTACATTGCTCCACCGTGAGCTACCGTTGTAAGTTTGCTCAAATGTGTTTGTTCCTCTGAGATTTCGACAATGGTTATTTGTTGATTAAGTAACAATATTATGAAACTATCAACAGAAGCTCTGTGGTAGCCACTTAAGTACCTAATCAGATACTAGGGTCATAAAGACAGAAAGATACAGTCACAGCACTAGAAAGCCTCGGACGACCTAGTGTGACAGTCCCAGCACTGAGCAGGCAGCTGGCGCATGGTGGGCTTGATGAAGAAATGAGGTCTACTCTAGAATGTTGACCTTCTGGGCAAGGGGTCTGAGGGAAGGGGGTAAGTCTGGGAAGACTTTTTGGGTGAGGAGCAACCAGGATGCTGTCTCTGCCTTTGCAAAGCCTGGTGGGCCTTGCATCTGTGAGCTGCACTCTCCTGCTTGGGAAGAGGCTACTCTGGTGGGCATATTTCAGGTGTGTGGTGCTTTGGGGTTGCAGAAAGGGAGACAGACACGGACCAGGGACTGGTATGTGGTGTTCCAAAAGGGCATTGTCACTAACCAGTGTCTTCCGTTTCTGTAAAAGCTTGGGTTTCTGAGTGCTCTTGGATTCTGGAAAGGAATCATCTATGGTCACTCCTGAAGACCTCGGGTATTTTCTGCACAGAGGAAAAGCTAGTGGTGGGTGATAGAGCCCAGACTGCAGAGTGCCTCCCCTACCCTTCCCAAATCCACAAGTCACGGCCACCCCTCCCCTCAGATGCAGGCTCTGGCTCCTGCCAGCACTGCTTTGAGATTCCTAGAGATGCTGCTAAGCAAGGCCCTGAGCCCAAATCATTTCCTTTCTCATCACTAGAGTCTTACAAGCTTCAACAGCTGCAGGATAACCTTACCACGAACCCAGAGAGCCCTGTGGTCTTAAATTTCCATTTATTGTGGCCATAATGATGGTTTCACGTCCAAAATCTCAAACACTCTAAGGATGTGATACCAAAGGCAAGTGCTATAGAACAAGAAGCACAAGATCTGGGGCTGGGAGCTGGCATGTGAGTCTGGATCTTCCTCTTATGGCTCATAGGATCTGGAGACAGACATTTGGGGTTCCAACAGGATGCCCTAGGGCAAGGTGTTTAAGTTCTTCAGCCAAGTTTTCTCTCAAAGAAATGCAGACATTTGGAGGCTGGGGGTTTAGCTTAGCAGCAGAAGGCCTGCCTGGCAAACATGAGATCATGAGTTCCATTCCCAGTACCGGAAAAAAAAAAAAAAGAAATGCAGACAATTTTTGTTTTGCCTCTCACAAGTCTAAGTGAGTTAGATTTTGAAAATACTGGTAAATTGCAAAGAGCTGCCCAGATGTTAATTATGACAGCAGGGTGGGATAAAAGTGGGTTCTCAGGAGATCTCTCACATACAAACCTCCTGGAAAAGCCAGCCTTTGTTCTAGCTCACAAGCATTACGGAAGTTTATGGGAGGCATCTGGAGGCCATAGGGAGAGCTACACGTTGGGAGGCAGGCCCAAGTGGAAAAAAGGGAAGAAATGATTCCAGCAACCCGTGCCGCCAGACCTGTGTGTTCATTCACTCCCCCTTATTAGCTAGTGACCTTGGGCATGCTGCTTAACCCCTCTGAACCTCAGTGTCTTTGCCTATAAAAGTGGAACTAGCCTGGTGTGGTGGCACACACTTATAATTCCAGCAAGTTCAAGTCTGCCTGAGCAACTTAGTGAGACTGTGTTTCAAAAAAATAAAAATAAAAAAGCCAGGAGTGGTGGTGCACATCTACAATTCCAGTACTCTGGGAGGCTAAGACAGAAGGATCACATGTTCAGGACCAGCCTGGGCAACATAGTGAGAACCTGCCTCAAAAAAATGTGTGTGGGCTGAGGGAATGTAGCTTAGTGGGAAGACCCTGGGTTCAATCCCCAAGGAACTTGAAAAGATTTAAATGAACTCAGTAGGGAAGCTCTTGTATTTTCCAACCCTAGTGCTTTACTGTCTTTCGACATTGGACGTCTGTGAACAAATAATGTGGAAGAAGCAGCCAGTATGGCAAGGGTGTTTGCCTAGATGTGCATGGGTCTGAGATGGTGTTAGAGGGCAACAAGATACAGTAGGAAATCAACCCTATATACTTACTGGGTTAAATCATTACTTTCTGGTGAAGATGAACCAATTTTCCAAACTCTGCTCTTGTTTATGCTGGAACTACCATGAAGGTAAAGTAAGGGAAGAAAGAAAGCTTTTGGGCACTCTCCAAATCATGAGAAGTTGCCAAATAGGAAAGTTCAGTAGGTAACACATAGTGTTAGTTAGTTTTTGTTTTTATTTTTTTGTACTAGGAATCAAACTCAGGGCCTTGTGCTTGCCAGGCAGGCACTGTGCCACTG